AAAGATGTGAGTTTCCTACTGAGATATTTTCTTCTTTATTTCTTTGATTATATCCTTCTCTCCTTACTCAGTCCTTTCCTACTGGAAATACTATTAGCAATACTATTACTCTGTCATTTCCTACTGGAAATACTATTAGAGAGGTGGGGACCTCTGAATCTGTCCTCTGTGTCATAATTTCCCTCTCTTTTTCAGCTTGTCTTTTTTTTCACATTGCCTTTTTAAAGAGATTTATCAACTTGATCGTTCAGCTTTCTAATTTACTTTCTAGGAGTGTCCATACTTTAATTCAGCTCACCTGTGAAGTACTTTTAAATTCAAGATTTCCTGTGGGTTCTTTTTTCCTGGATGCCATTTACCTTCAGGTGTGTTGAGTTTGAGATCCCTGCAGGCAGCGGGGGTGGAGCCCATGACGAGTAGAGATTGGAGAGATTTCAGCCCAGACTTAGAATCTGAGGCCAGGAAGAAAGAAAGAAGAAAAAAGGACCAAAGAAGGGACATTAGGAAGATTAGCCCATATTTGATTTCCAGGGTTTAGGAATAGGCTTCTCATCTGAGGTCCAGGGATGGCTTCAAATTCTCATGAGACTGAAAGCAAACCTGCATATGTATATGTACATTTTTCTGGGGAAGGGGTACCAGGGATTTTCCACCCTGAAAATGACTAAGAACCACTGGTTGGACAATGTCTAGCATGTGGAAGCAACTCAGTATATGTCTCTTGTATCTGCATGTTAGGGAGTAGGAAGAAGGACACTGTGCTGAAGGGAAAAGTTCGTGTAAAGGCCTGGGTCAAGGGTGGGAGGCAATTAAATAACAGGTCTGTGTGGTAACCAGGAGAAGCTCAGTTTGCTCAGAGATGAAGATAGAGTCTAGAGAAAAACAAGGTTGAGGGAGTGCGCTACTATGAGATTATGAAAAGCCTTGACTGCCCAGAGAATACTACTTGTATATTATTATGGTGCAATGAGGAGCTGAAGATGATTTTTGGCAGGAAATGGCATAGTCAGATTAAATTTCATGTCAGTTTTCTATTTTTTAAAAAGATTTTATTTATTTGCAAGAGAGAGAGAGGGAGAGTACAAGCAGGGGGAGTGGCAGGTAGAGGGAGAAGCAGGCTCCTTGCTAAGCAAGGAGCCCGAGGTGGGACTCGATCCCAGGACCCTGAGATCATGACCTGACCTGAAGGTAGACGCTTAACCATCTGAGCCACCCAGGCACCCCTTCATGTCAGTTTTCTAGTTGTGGGTAAGGCTGACCAGATAAATAGGCAGGAAGACCATTTGTTTAGTGAATTATCAGTTACCCTTTGAGGATTTAATAGGACCTGGTGGGCCTAAGTAGAGTCCACATTGTGGTCTGTCATGGAGGTGCTCAAGGTTACCAGCCGGGGTTACTAGGAAGGCTGTTTTATATCAAAGACCATCTCTCCTAGAAGCTGCTCTGAGTGCAGGTTGACTCTAAATTAGCTTCTCTTCTGTAGCCAGAGTATTACAAGCAGTAAATGAGAGAAATAAGGTCCCATTATGAAATCCTGAATCTTGGACCTTCTGCTCAGTAAAACTCCTGAGGTCAATCCAGTGATTAGCACAGAGTTTTGCAAACAGGAAGGGTTCAGTGAACTTGTGGCCCTCTCCTGGTTGAAATTCCCCATAATCTATGGGAAACAAACACAAAGATGATCACTGGGGAAGAAAGTCAGGAGGAAATCTCAAGTCTCAGGAACTGACAATCTGCTTTGCACTTGAGTTCTCTTCTAACTGCCCTTTCTTGTTCTAATGTCTGAGATTCTTGTCCTCGGCCATACTGAAGCCCTCTGAGGACAAAAACCCACTTTGTAACTTACTCAACAACAATCATCCTTTTTTTTTTTTTTAAAGGAGGGGGTGGAAAGATAGAGGAAGAGAATCTTCAAGCAGACTCTCTGCTGAATGTGGAGCCCAACACAGGGCTTGATCCTATGACCCATGTGATCATGACCTGAGCGGAAAGCAAGAATCAGTTGCTTAACTGCCTGAGCCACCTAGGTGCCCCAGGAGAGAAGGAATCCTTTAAGCAGGCTCCACTCTCAGCGTAGAGCTGAACACGGAGCTCGATCTCACAACCCTGAGATCATGGCCTGAGCTGAACTCAAAAGTCAGACACTTAACCAACTGAGCCATGCAGGAGCCCCAACAACAATCAGCCTTTTAAGCACCTACTGCATGTCAGGTGTTATGCTACCTTACTTTACAATTGGCCTATGAGCTGTCTCCTTGCCTATCTTAAACAGTTTTCTTCTGTTTCGGAGGTTCTTAACAATGGGTGCTTCTCCAACCCAGTCACGAAGCTTTAAAGACTCTTGTGCCAGGACTCAGTTCCAGAGATTCAGAGTCCTGGAGATCCCAGGGATTTAGAAGAAGCTTGCTGGGTGATGCCACACACACTAGATACCACTCCCACCACCTTAGGGACCTTGTCTTATCAGCAGTGCTTTCTCTCTCTTTTCTTGATATTTCCCTCAGCCTCAGTCCCATCTTAAACACCAAAATCTAAACCTTCCTTTAAGCCTTTGTTTTTTTCGCTTCGCTGCCAAACTCCTTGAACCAGTAATTAATTGACGGTCAGTGCCCTGCCTCCTTGCGGCCTGTTCAGTACTCAACCCATTACATCAACACTCCTGGCAAGCTTCTTCTAAATGTCACCAATGACTAATAGTTAAACCTAAGGAGTGTTTAAGATTCCTTAGCTTGACCCAGCAATTGACCCTTTCATCCCTTTTACTGAAAGGCATCATTCTCTCTTTGGTTTCCTCTAAAAGTCTAGTAGCAACTTCTGTTTTGGGGACTCCTCGTAACATGCCAGCCCATTTCCCCATGGTATAGTCTTCCAGGGATGGCATATACATCTCTTTGCTGAAGCCTTCCTGGCTCTGTCTCTGGCTTCACCTCTCCCCTGGTTCCCAATCTGTATACCTGATAATGATCAAATATGTCCTCAGGGTACCATGAGTACAGCAATTGCAGTGTTTCTGAAACCCAGAGTTGCCGCAGGTTTCTGGTAATATTAGCCTCTGGGTTCTAGCTCCTTTTCCATCCGGCTCCCCAGAGTAGACAGGCTTTGGGCCCTTGCCTCAGCCTCTTTGCCCTCTACTCCCCTATAGGACTTCTAGACCAGCCAGGCTCAGTCAGATCCCAATCCTGATCCTGTTACTCATCTTTCCGCCCCCAGCATACATGGTCTGCCCATCTTCCCCACTCCAGGCTTCCCTCTAGCCTGAAAGGACTACAAAGGAGGACTATTATCAGGTCAGCTTGGCAGTGAGGTACCTGCCACATGTCTATTGTTTTTGTGTAAGTTTTACTTATTTAAGTAATCCCGACATGGGGCTTGAACTCACAACCCCAAAATCAGGAGTCTCATGCTCTTCCAACTGAGCCAGCCAGGCACCCTTATTCACAGCCTTTTTTTTTTTTTTTTTTAAGATTTTATTTATTTACTTGAGAGAGAGAGAATGAGAGATAGCACGAGAGGGAAGAGGGTCAGAGGGAGAAGCAGACTCCCCGCTGAGCAGCGAACCCGATGTGGGACTCGATCCCGGGACTCCAGGATCATGACCTGAGCCGAAGGCAGTCGCTTAACCAACTGAGCCACCCAGGCACCCTATTCACAGCTTTTTAATTGAATATTTTCAAACACACAGAAATGATGAAAGAGTAAGATAGTGAATACTTGGATACCATCCACCTAGAGTCATTAAGGCAAAAATATTAGCATCATCCTTAACTCCTCTCTCACATACCTTATGTTCTATTCATTAACAATTCCTTTAGGTTCTTCTTTTGGAGTATATCCAAAATCCAAATACCTCTCACCACCTCCTTTTCTGTGTCCCATCCAAGCCAGCACCTCTGACCATTACTTTTAGCTTCGTCAAGGCTCCCTGCTTCCTCCTTGCTCCCTACAGTGCTGTTAACTCACTATGTCACTCCCCTGCTCAAAACCCCAGAAAGGCAGGGCACCTGGGTGGTGCAGTCAGTTGAGTGTTGGCCTCTTGGTTTTGGCTCAGGTCATGATCTCAGGGTCCTACGGTGGAGCCTTGCATTGGGTTCCACTCTCAGCATGGAGTCCACTTGAGTTTCTCTCTCCCTCTCTCTTCTCCTCCCTCCCCGCCACGCTCTAGCACACGCACTCTCTCAAATAAATAAATCTTTAAAAACAAACAAACAAACAAACAAACCCAGAATGGCTTCTGTCTCCCATCTTCTTCAGAGGAGAGGCTGATGTGCTCATAGTGGCATGCAAAGCCTGTTTAATGTGCCAGTATTATCTCTTATGCCTTTACCTGCTACTCCTTCCTCTCCCTCACTCTGCTATAGCCACAAAGGCCTCTCTGTGGTTCCTCAAACAGGCCAGGCACAGCCCATCTTAGGGCTTTTGCATTTTCTTTTCCTCTGCTTCTTAGGTCCCTCACCCTCCACCCTATATCTTTGCACAGGACTCACACTCCCTCATCTCCTCAGTGAAACCCTCCCTTACCTACTTAAAACTGCCTATCACTCACCTGCTCTCTCCCATACTCTCTAACCCTCTTTCCAGGTTTTTCTCCAAAGCAGTTATCACCACTTGATACTATGCAGTTTTCACTTATTTATCTTTGTTATGCTCTGTAAGCTCCACATGGACAGGGACCTGTGTGCTGGGCTACCAGCTGTCCCTCCAGCACCTGGAAGGGCGCCTGGAACATAGCAGAGCGCTGTCGGCCTCAGTGGAGTGACTGGAGGAATGGGAGCCCAGATTAGAAAACATTCAAGTCCAGGAAGACTTCCTGGAGGAGTAACCGTAACCGCCCGCTCTCCCAAACACCGCCCAGAGGGTGTGGGGGCCGGCTCCGCTTCCTCGAACCACGCCTGTCGGGGGCGGGGCCTCGACCGGAAGCCGCCCTCCCCAGCGGAAGCCGGACCCTGCAGCCTGGGCCCTCCTCCCAACATGTCTCCCGCTCTTGCCCCGCCCACCCGAAAGTGGGTGAAAGGTCGGCGCTGCAGGCGCTGTGGCTGGGGCTGTGGAGCAGGACGGGTTCGGAACAGACCGACACACTGCCGGCGAGGTGGACGGACGGACCATGGCAGACGAAGCGAAACCCATCAGCCCGCTCAAGAACCTGCTGGCCGGCGGCTTTGGCGGCATGTGCCTGGTATTTGTGGGGCACCCGCTGGACACCGTCAAGGTGCGAGGTGGCTGGGGCGCCGGCTGGAGGGAGGAGGCCCGGGAGGGGCGCAGACAGTAGCCTCTCCCGCGAGGATCAGCCTGGGATAGAAGCGGGGCCCGTGAGAGTTTACATGAGAAGTCTAGGGAATCTCCCTTTCACTCTTTTCGAGGATCGGGGGGTTGGGGGGAAGCGCAGAGAGAGCAGCATCTAACCGACCATCAAGGGCTCTGATTTAAAGTTCTCTGTCCGGCATCCTCTCCTGACCCTGCGCCACTTCTCTGGGAATAGGAAAGAAAACCGCCTCCTCAAAGCTCTGATATCAGCAAACCTTATAACATTATCAGCAGGATTGAAACTGGTCACCTGTTAAAGCCCTCCTCAGAAAGAGAGCTAGGCAGAGGCGCAGTTATTCTAGAGACGTCTTTTGACACATTCTCTGGGCCCCCATCACCGGCTCCTCATTTTCCCCGCTGGGGGTTGGCCATCTTCAGCCTGTCACCTCTGTAACCTGACAGGCCTCCGCCGGTGGGAGGTGATGATAACCTCAGAGATTGAATCCCTTCCAAGTAAAGCAAGTGACTGATTTTGCCCACGGCCAGGATTATCCTCATAAATCCCAGTTGAGGAAGCCATAATCAAACAGGCTCTGGGAAGGAGGAAACTCACCAGGACCAGTTCCCTGGTTTTCCTCACATCCTGCCTCAATTCTTCCCACTTTTAGCACTTTTAGCAAGGCCTGCCTGGAGACCAAAGTCCATGCCCTGCGACTTAGCATTCAAAACTTTATCCGAGTTTTCTAACCTTACTTCTGGACACACATTTGGAGGAAATTGACAGATCATGTCCAGGGTGGGCCTGTGGGGAGCAGACATAAGTCTTGCAGAGTGGGAAGTCTGTGTAGGGGACTTATTAGAATATTGGTTGGGTTTCTTCCACAGGAGATTGCTCTGGGGGCATTTCCTCTTGGCAGGTCTGGGCAGCAACCTCTTTGCTACCATTCATCTGGGAGAAGAGCCGGCGTCATTCTACAGGAAGATCAGGTTTAAAACAACCAGGCTGGTTAGGGTACCGTGCAACATAAAATCAGATGTTTATTCAGCTGATGGTAAATGCTGTGTGGGTTAGTGCTTCCCAGAAAGTGGTCGTTTTAGGCAGCACTGTTTATTAAGAGAGAAAAAGCGTCTGGTCTTTCATCCTACTCTTGAGCCATGTAGCCAGACGTCTTGTTAGTTCCAGGCATTTGGGACCTCTCTTGAAACAAAACAAAACCCTTCTTGGCTGCTTTACACAAATGTTGCTCTTAACTTCTGTATCCTCTTGCCCTTCCTCCCCACAGATGTGACTTTCAGGAAGGGCCCAGGGATCTCTGTACTGAAGTGTAAATGACTGAAAATGTTCCCTGGCACTTTTATCAGCCAGAAAGCCTCTTTTAAGCTTAAACAAAACCACAAATTGCAGATTGCAGGCCTTTTGACCTCAGAGAGCCACATGGGCTCCAGCACCTTCAAAGGTCCGAGGTCACTAGTTACGGCCTGAGAAGGAGTTGGAGCTTGGAAAGGCTATGTGGCAGGTGGCTAAGGGCTGGCTGAGTTCTGACTGGAGAAGTAGAAAACCCCAGACATTCTGGGCCTGGGGAGGGCAAGAGTGAAGGCAGATACAGGCTTGGCAGTGGGAATCAGGCTGTAAAATAACATCAACCATGGAGTATTTTTTTTTTAAAGATTTTATTTATTTATTTATTTATTTATTTATTAAAGATTTTATTTATCCGACAGTGAGAGACACAGTGAGAGAGGGAACACAAGCAGGGGGAGTGGGAGAGGGAGAAGCAGGCTTCCTGCTGAGCAAGGAGCCCGATGTGGGGCTCGATCCCAGGACCCTGGGATCATGACCTGAGCCGAAGGCAGACACTTAACCGACTGAGCCACCCAGGCGCCCCAACCATGGGGTACTTTAATGTTCTTGCTGGCTTGGATGGCCAATGTCATGATGGGACAAGGATGAGATTTACACAAAATCATGGGACGGGATCAACAGTTTTGATCCACTTCTCCCTCCCTACCAAGCGAAGGAGGTTGTGTCTGACCGTGGAGGATCTGAAAGCCAAAATAAGGGATTTTAGATATAAAGCAGTGGGAGCCTCTGGACATTTCTACTGTTCTGTCCTATAAATTCAGATTTGCATGTCCTCTCCATTGCCTAGAGAGTGATTCCTTGTTGTGACATGTAAGGCCTTAACAAATATGAGAATAAGAGATTCTAAAGAAACAGAGGAACAGCATGCTGAAAATGGTGTTTTGAAAAAGTTAGTATGATAACAACCTGAGAAGGACTTGGAAGCAGAAGAACTCTGAGCAGGAGAAACAGCCAGGAAATAGACTGCAGAAGTAACTGGGTATATCAGTTATCTATTGCAGTATAACAACTTACCCCAAAACTTAGTGATATGAAACAACAACAGCCATTAACTCTCACAGTCTTTGTGAGGCAGGATTTTGGGGGCAGCTTAGGCAGATAGTCTGGCTCAGGGTCACTTGTGAGGTTGCAGATGTTGGTTGGGATCCAGAATGTGTAAAGAACTCTTATAACTCAATAAAAAGACAAATAGCCCAATTAAAAAATGGGCAAAGGACTTAATATTCAGTAAATATTAGGCAAATTTATAGAGACAGAAAGTAGATAAGTGATTGCCAAGAGCTGATTGGAGAGAGGAATGGGGAGTAACTACTAATGGTGTGGTGTTTCTTTTTGGGGTGATGAAAATATTCTAAATTGATTTTAAGGAAGGTTGCACAACTCAAAATACTAAAAACCATTGAATTGTGCCCTTTAAAAGGGTGAATTTTTGGTATGTAAATTATATCTTAATAAAGCCATTAAAAGAAAGTACTGAACCAGGCTGCCTGGCTGGCTTAGTTGGTAGAGCATGTGACTTTTTTTTTTTTTAATATTTATTTATTTGAGAGAGAGAGAGTGCTCGAACACAAGCAGGGGGAGGGGCAGAGGTATAGAGGGAGAGAAGCAGACTCCCCACCGAGTGGGGAGCCTGATGCAGGGCTTGATCCCAGGACCCCGAGATCATGACCTGAGCTGAAATCAAGAATCGGAGAGCATGTCACTCTTGATTTTGGGGTATGAGTTTGACTGCCACGTTGTGTGTAGAGATTACTTTAAAAAAAAAAAAAAGGTACTGGACCAAAGACAGTGCACCTCCCCCCCGTAATAGCTGTTGTTTGGGACTGCAGTCATCTGAAGGATTGGCTTCCATGCGGTTCATTCACATGCTGGCACGTTCATGCTGGCTATGTCAGGAGGCCTTCTTTCCTCTGCACATGGCCTCTCTAGGCTGCTTGCGTGTCCTCATGACATGGTGGCTGACTTCCCCCAAAGCAGATAACCTGAGATAGAGACAGGCAGAACCTGGCCTTTCTATCACCTAGCCTTGGAAGTCATATAGCATCAATACCACCACACTCTACTTGATAGAAGTGAGTTCACTGAGTCTGGTCCACATTTAAGGGGAATGAATTAGGACTGACCTTTGAAGGGGAAAGAGCATCAAAGAATTAGTGGACATAATTGAAAATGGTTTAGAACTTGCTCTGGGAGAGAACTCAGAGAGAGGAAGAAATTAGGATTCTGGAAGAATCTCGAAGGACCACTTTAACAGACTTGGTGCCCATGTCATAAGAGCAATAGGAAGTAGTCGGAGGTGATGCTATGGTTTCAAATTCTGAGAAAGAGGATGGCTAGGTGGCGCTGGCACAAAGGGCACGTTCTTTAGGAGGGTGAGATTCCAGAGGTGATTTGAGTAGGGAGATCTTCTCCAGGCAGTTGGAAATGTAGCCCTAAAGATGGGAAAGAAGGTCTGGAGATGACCAAGTGATAGTCATCACTGAGTAGAAGCTGAAGCCCTGCAATCTGAGTTTTCTGAAAGGGATTGTGAACCAGATGGGTAGGGCGCTAAGCCTTGAAGAATGCCTGGAGTAGAAAAGGAGACGAAGAAGGGAGGTTTCAAGAAGACATAGTTTCAAGCATTGGATATACCAAAAGGTCGAGAAGGATGAGAACCAAGAAAAGTAGGATTAAATCCACCTTACTCCAGAATGCCTCTGTGGAGTGCCTTACCTAACCACCAGCATGCCACCACAGATGGAAGGGGCGGGGGTGGCAGGAGCTGGAGCTTTGCATCAGCCAGGCCTTATTCTTGGCACTAAACCCAGTCTTCTCATCTGTAAGCTGGGAATACCTATCCCATTGGATCACTATGGGATCCATTAGGTAAGAAATAAATGGTGGAAGTAACTGGATGGGGGCGGGGGAAGCATGCTACTCATGACCTGTGAGTGCAGACTTTGGATAAACTGGAAGAAAGAGAAGTCTGAATCTAGCAGGCTAAGTGAATGCTGAAGGCACATACACAGGCACAACCTTCTCTGTTCAGAGTTTGGCAGGAAGTTCCGTTTCTGGGATTTGACTGTATTTTCACTTCTGGTTTCAGGTCCGACTGCAGACACAGCTCCCGAGTTTGCCTGGACAGCCTCCCATGTATTCTGGGACCTTCGACTGCTTCCGGAAGACTCTTGTTAGAGAGGTATGGTATCCAAGTGCTGGGCACTCCTCCTACTCAGAGGACCATATTCACAGAGCTGGTTTGTTATCCCCCTAGGGGGAGAGAGTGACTTTGTGCTGGAGGGCTAGCCCATAGCTGCTGCTGTCTCATCCTGCCGTCCTTTGCCCTCCTGTTGCGGCGCTGGAGTCTTTGATAGTTCCAGCCACTGTTTTATATGGAAGACTGAAGCTAATAAAATGGTTCTCTCATTTGGAAGGCAGAATTAGCCCAGAGGGAATAATTAGAGATGTGAAATGGAAGAAAATACAAATCTGGATCAGTCGGTTCAATAGAGGTCAGTGTCACAAGTTCACGTAAAGTCTCTGGGTGCCTGGCTGGCTCAGTTGGTGGAGCATGTGATTCTGGATCTCACAGTCATGAGTTCAAGCCCTACGTTGGGCATACTTAAAAAAAAAAAGAAAGAAAGAAAAAAGAAAAGGAAAAAAATGCAGTCATAAAGAAGTTCATGTAAAGTCTAGAGGAAAAGTCAGCCAGTCTGAGGAACAGTGAGAGAAGCCAGTGAGTCTTCAAACCCCTAGACAAAGACACTAAATTGGTTTGGGGTTATTGAATTACATAATAACTTTTGAGGTATTTCTTAGAGTGAAAACATGAGATTTTATTTATTTATTTATATTTTTATTTTTAAAGATTTTATTTATTTATTTGAGAGAGAGCACACGTGAGAGAGCACAAGCTGGGGGAGCAGCAGAGGGAGAGGGAGAAGCAGGCTCCCTGCTGAGCAGGGAGCCCAATGCGGGGCTTAATCCCAGGATCCTGGGATTATGACCTGAACTGAAGGCAGACGCTTAACTGACTGAGCCACTGAGGTGCCCCTATTTATTTATTTATTTTTAAGGATTTTATGTATTTATTTGAAAGAGAGAGAGGGAAAGCACCCGCTCCAGGGGAGGAGCAGAGGGAGAGAGATAAGCAGACTCCCTGCTGAGCAGGGAGCCTGGCTCAGTCCCAGGAGCCTGGCTCAGTCCCAGGACCCTGGGATCATGATGAGCCAAAGGCAGACATTTAACTGACGGAGCCGCCCAGGCGCCCCTGAAAACATAGGATTTTTTTTTTTTTTAAGATTTTATTTATTTATTTGACACAGAGGAGAGACAGCTAGAGAGGGAACACAAGCAGGGGGAGCAGGAGAGGGAGAAGCAGGCTCCCGGCTGAGCATGGAGCCTGATGCGGGGCTCGATCCCAGGACCCTGGGATCATGACCTGAGCCGAAGGCAGACACTTAATGACTGAGCCACCCAGGCGCCCCTGAAAACATAGGATTTTAAAAAAGTTTTTTTACTAGTGATATTTATTACTCACTTCATTAGCACATATGTTAAAAGACCTTGTTGAGAACTTTTCCTTTGCTTCCTAAAATACAACTCTCATATAAAATCTCTATTAAACATACAGTCCTTATTAAATGTAGAGAAACTGAGAAGTAGATGTCACCCAGATGAAGAGGGGATGCTGGTAAGTGATGGACTCAGCCTTGGGGGAGAAGTTGTTCCCAGGGTTCCTGCAGGACCCATACCTGAGTTGGTGCTGCCTTTTCTTCTGTGCTGCCCAGAGCAGAATCTGACCAGTGTCTGATTGAGGCTTTAGGCTTTGGGTCTGCTCAGAGTCCTGTGCCCTAGACAAAGAGAGGCAGGATTATATGCCTCTTGTCAACGGACACTGAGTACCTGTTTAGCGTCTTGGCAATGTGCTGGGTCCTGGGGGCTTGGTGAGAATGGCCTGTATAAACCCAGTTCCCTGCAGAGTTGAATAGGCTTCCTTAGTCCATATGTGTGCGTGTCCCTGCTTTGCTGTGCAGACTGAGCTCTCTGCTTTCTGAAGCTCCTGGAGGTCTTGGTGCTGCATGGAAGTGGGTGGGCCAGCATAGTGGAAGGAAGGCTAGTGGAGTTGTCAGGAGGCATGGGCTTAGCTCCTTAGGACTTGGGCATCCTTCTCAGCCCAGGTGGGGAGCTGTGGGCTTTGGAAGGATTTTGTCACATTCTGCTTTTGTAGATCCTCCTCAGAACCTTCTCTTTCCCCTTCATTCTTTCCTGTTTACTGCCTTTTGCACTTTGTCCTCAGAGAGTCTGCTTACAGCCTGTGGCAATGTTAGACCTTTCCAGGATCCAGGAGTGCTGACTGGTACAACTGGCCCCTTTAGAAGGCTGGTTGTGAATGCCCAGAGTCTGCAGAGAGACAGGTCCTTCAGCCTGTGTCTGTGGACCCTCCCAGTGTGTAGCACCACCCTGTTTCTCCTGAAGCTCTCTCTCTCTCTCTTTAAAAGATTTTATTTGTTTATTTGAAGAGAGCATGCATGAGCACGAGCCAGGGTGGGGGGTGAGCAGAGGGAAAGGGACAAGCTGACTTTACGCTGAGCGTGAGCCCAAAGCAGAGCTCAATTTCAAGACCCTGGGATTAGGCCCTGAGCTGAAGTCAAGAGTCCAATGCCTAATGGACTGAGACACCCAGGCGCCCCACCTGCAGCTCTCTCTTAAGGAACAGCTTTTTTTTTTTTTTTTTTTTTTACAGATTTTATTTATTTATTTGAGAGAAAGCAAGAGCACAAATGGGGGCAAGTGGAGAGGGAGAGGGAAAGGCAGACTCCCCACTGAGCAGGGAGCCCAATGTGGGGCTCAGTCCCAGGACCCTGGAATCATGACCTGAGCCGAAGGCAGACACTTAACCAACTGAGCCACCCAGGTGCCCCAAGGAACAGTTTTAATATATTTTTTAAAGATTTTATCTATTTTTTGAGAGAGCGAGCAAGCATGAGTGTGTGTGAGCATGCACAAGTGCGCAAGCTGGGGGAGGGGCAGAGGGAAAGGGAGAGAGAATCCCAAGCAAACTGAGCTGAGTGTGGATCTCACGACCCTGAGACCATGACCCAAGCCAAAACCTAGAGCTGGATGCCCAACTGACTGAGCCACCCAGGTGCCCTTTTAGTTTTGTTTTTAAAATTATTCCTTATTGGGGTGCCTGGGTGGCTTAGTTGGTTGCCCCTGCTTGTTCGCTCTCTCACTATCTCTCTCTCTCAAATAAATAAATAAAATCTTTTTTTTTTAAAGATTTTATTTATTTATTCATGAGAGACAGAGGAGGAGAGAGAGAGAGGGAGAGAGAGAGAGAGAGAAGCAGACTCCCAAGGAGCAGGGAGCCCGATGCGGGACTCGATCCCAGGACCCTGGGATCATGACCTGAGCCGAAGGCAGACGCTTAACCATCTGAGCCACCCAGGCGCCCAAATAAATAAAATCTTTAAAAAATTATTCCTTATGTTGTATTGAAGTGATACAAGCACTTGGGTTTGTTATTAAAAGTCTTGTAACAAAGTAGCAAAGTGATTTATCCCCCCTTCTCCAGAGGCAGCTGTTTTCAGCTCTTCCAGTTTGTGCTGTTTCTGCCTAAATAATATACATTTACTACTATATTTTATACATTCTTATATGTTTTAGCTACCTGTTTGTGGTAGATGATTTTAAGTCTTACATTCCTTTATCCCTTCTTTCTGCCCTGCCCATATAATTTTTATCATATTTTCTGGTTTAATCCAATTCACTGTTTTCATGATTACAACTTCATATATGTTTTTTCCTCTTAACTAATGTACTATGAGGTACATTTTATTTCTTGTGTGACTGTTTTACTTGAGTTTGGGTTAGTAATTGTGTCAGTTTCTTTTGCTTATGTTTCTTTGAATTGCTGTCTCTGTTACCCTGTATCTGAAAAGCTCTGTGGCGTACCTTTCTGTTTGGTTTTCCACACTGCCTAAACAATTAAATCTGTTGTTCCACTGTGAGTTGTTCTGCTTTGTTTTTCTCGGAAACATCCCTTCTGGAGTCCTCCATCTTCATACTCCCATGTGGACTGGCTTATTTCTAGACTGACGGTACTCAACGCCATCTTGGAAACCCCATTCACCTCTCTTGCGCTGAATGCTTGGTCTCCTGGGTCCCAAATCTTCCTCTTCCCTGGTTTGCTAATCTTGTTTGGTTGGGATATCTATCTATTTGTCTATTTATTTGCTACTACAAAGTTGATTTTATCACCAAACTGTATGAGTGAAAATTGATGTGCGGTCTTAATACTGTTTCTAACAATAAAACCCCCACGTCTTGATACTTGGAAAATACAAAAACTTCTTAGTTACCTGTCATCTCACTCCAAGGAAGTCAGATCACATTGTACATCTTGTTTTTTAGCCTGCTTTTTTAGTGGTCTCTAAGTAGACCTAGTAGTCTCTTCTCATGTTACAATGCGATTTAATAGCTATGATAGTCCATTTATGGAATTCCCATCGTTTGTCTTGGTAGTGTCCTATTTGGGAGGTTTTTGGTTTATTCCAAAATTTTGGGAGCTTATAATTGCCTGATGTCATTCTCTTTTTACATTTCTGAGTATTTTCTTAGAATAAATTTCTCGACAGAGAATTTCCTGATGAAAGAGTATGCTGCATATTGCCAGATTGTCTTCCAGAATGAAAGCTGTTTCCAGTTTCTTCAGTGGTGTATAAGAGGACAACTATTTCTGGGGTTTTCTTCTTATTTAAAGCTCTCTTTGCTTGGAGAAGAGGTAAAGGAAGAAAGCCGCAGGTTAGGGGACACACTACTTCCCCATTTCAGCGGAGTGAAGGGTAGTTGTGTCTATAAACAGCTTCTGCTTCTATGATTCCTTGCAGGGCATCACGGGGCTATATCGGGGCATGGCTGCCCCCATCATTGGGGTCACCCCCATGTTCGCCGTGTGCTTCTTTGGGTTTGGTTTGGGGAAGAAACTACAACAGAAATGCCCGGAGGATGTGCTTAGGTAAGTACTTACAAGTCTGGAGCACTTGAAGCTGTTCTGCCTGGTGATGTGACATGGGTTAAAGGAAAAAATCTCAGCAGATAGGGAGTGGCTGTCCTCCTGGGCCCCTAACACTGGCTCCTGGTTGCTCCACATGAGGGAGGTACTTGAGTTTCTTTTGCCCTGTGAACCAAAGGGAAAAAGAAAACAACCTAAAGCCCTCCCCTCTCCTCCCTATCAGGCTGTCATAATTTCTTCTGTGAAATAGTATCTTACTAGGGGTATTAGTAATATCAACCCCACAGCATTGGGAGGTCTGAATGCTACAGTGTGTATAAAATACCATGAATAGTTCCTGGTGCTGCAGTAAAGACAGCGGCAACCTTGTTTTCCATCACCTGGTTGGGAAAAGGGAAGGTCTCAACTTTTGTTTTACATCATTTTTATCATATGATTATAATTATTTCAGATACTGGTTTCTCTGTTAAGTACAATAAATGAGTGTATTTTCTTTTCATAAACTTTAAGAAGTTGGATTTGGGTATGAAGAGGCACATGAGTCAGGATTACAGCTCAGAATTTACAAAGTAGTTAATAAAAACAGGTCAACTTTTTAAAAATTACACATTTTTTAACTTTTTAAAAAAAGATTTTGTTTATTTATTTGAGGGAGAGAGTGAGAGAGAGACAGCATGAGAGGGGGGAGGATCAGAGTGAGAAGCGGACTCCCCGCTGACCAGGCGGGCACTTTGGGATCATGACCTGAGCTGAAGGCAGACGCTTAACCAACTGAGCCACCCAGGCATTTTTTAACTTTTAATTGAAATATAGTTGACATATAATATTAGTTTCAGGTGTCTAACATAGTAATTCAACAATTATATACATTACGAAGTGCTCCCGATGATAAGTGTAGTCATTACCTGTTACCATACAAAGTTGTTACAATATTATTGATTATATTATATTCCCTGTGATGTACTTTTCATCAGACCAGCTTCTTGGGATGCAGGGGAATTCTGAATGGAAACGTGGGATGGCAAGGTGGCTCAGTCTGAGACTTGCAAGGTGACAACTCCTGGGAGGAGTTACAGGTAGCACAGAACCGCCAGAGGCTTAGCCAGGCTTGAGATCCAGGAGCTCAAAGGAGGAAGCCCAGGGTGCTATGTGGTTGTTTTCTGTCACTACTTCAGGCCACAGCATGCTGAGTAAGGGTCTAGGACGTAGATACAGATGCTTGTAATATGGAACTCTTTCTGGAGTCCTTGTGACCCTTGAATGTGCCCAGCGTCTATAAATAGCCACAGGTGGCCGCAAATGTGGACGTGTATGGGGTCCTTTTGAAGTTGTGTTTGACTGTTGGTAGCCCAAATATCTCATGAACACATGTCCCCTCTGAGCACCTGGTCTTCTAGCTCATGTGCCAGTTCCTAGCTATACCAGGACCATGCACTAAAACGTCCAGTGGGGTCATCGTTAGTACTTTGGCCTGTGGCTTGTATTCCCTGTACAATCACATCAGTGTACAGAGAAACAGCCTTCCTGCTTGCGCAAAGGTCGAGACACTCGGGACCCCACCCCTATAATCTTGCCATGTTCTAAATTCTGAACATCAGCCCTGCCATATTCCCCTCCCTGCAGTGGTATTTAGGGATAGTGTGGAAATGAGTGCTACCAGGACCATGGAGTGGATGCCCAAGACGTCCAGACTCACAGATGCCAACCTGGGGTAGGGGTGGGAGGTGGCAGAATGGGCCAGGCAGTCATAGAGTGTCTACAGAGTACCCCGTGCACACACACAGACCACATTCAGAGGAAAGTCCTTACTCCCAGGAGATGAGGGTGTGCCTAACCTGGGGTATGGGCATCCTGCAAAGAATAGTTGGTCTCATGAGGGGAAATTCAGTTGCAGAGAGGGCTCCTCTTCGGATAGTAGTGTGAACTGAGCATGTGAAGGAGGCCATGCACGAAAGCAACTCTCTTGACTGTTAGACAGTCAACCTGTGTGGTAGACTTATCTGCCTGAGGCATATGTGTGGGCCCTGCCTGGGGTGAGAATATGGAAAAAACAGGGCTGTTGAAACTGATGCCCTGCCTGGAGAGAAGAACCTACGGTAGATGTCTTTATACCCCTGTTTGACATCTGCTCTCCAGATCTTGGGCTCCTTGTTGCGTGGGACCTGCCTGAAGGTCAGCTCGCAGAGGCTTGGGGTCAGGAGGGGCCTGAGGGTCTGGAGAGTAACTGAAGATTTTTAGCAACATTTTTTAAATTGTGGGGGCTCTGTTGAAATACTAATTATGGCTTTGTGCTCCATTGCCTGCTGGCCACCCTGGTATTACTAATCCCAGAAAGAAAAGGAGATGCTAGGGGTAGCACAGGCAGCTGTGTGGTATAGATGCCTGGAGTCTCAGACTCCTCCGAATACTTGGTGTGCTTCATTCTTTGAGGGCCAGGGTGACGATCTGTATCTCTGGCCACTGGGGGACCATTCCCTGCACAAGGGGGCCACAGAACCCATCATGCCTGTCTGGGTACCATCCCTGTCTGGGCCTTTCTCAGCATCTTAGTCCTTGCAACTGTCCTGGCTGCCCCTCAGCCCATGGAGGTGGCCACAGCTGTCCCCATCAGCCATGATGCTGTCCTGCTTGTGTCTTGACTTAAAATGTTCTCAGGACCTTGGTGGTCCAGAGGAAGTGATATTGGAGGGGAACTGGGGTCAACTGAGACCCAGATCTTGAGTTAGAGGCTTTTTCCACAACCCTGAATTTTACAAATGGGGAATCAAGGCTAAGTGAAGCCTAAAAACTTGTCCATAGTCATCGTGCATGGCAGGCCCAGGGGAGGGAACTGTGTCTCACTATAAAGCTTCTCCCATGGGTGAGGCCATCTGAGTGTGCAAGTAGCCTTCTTGACCGAGCTCATATTGCTCTTGGCACTGAGGATATACCTAGAACTTGGCTTTTGTGCAAAATATGACTTATTTGTGCTGGGCTTCTGCCTAGTCCAAGTGCTTATTTTTTTCTTTTTAATTTAAATTCAAGTTACTTAACATAGAGTGTAGTATTGGTTTAAAGCAGTAGAATTTAGTAATTCATTACTTACATATAATACCCAGTGCTCATCCCAACAAGTGCCCTCCTTAATGCCCATCACCCATTTAGAGCATCCCCCAACCCTCAGTGCTTATTTTTTCTTACAAAGTCATCTTTGCTGGCATCGCCTCTGTCCTGGGTGGTTAGTCACAGGTGCTTGCCTCTGGTTTTTGTTTTCAATACAGTTACCCCCAAATATTTGCAGCTGGAATGTTATCTGGTGTATTCACCACAGGAATTATGACCCCTGGAGAACGGATCAAGTGCTTGTTACAGGTAAGGGTGGGATCTGGGGTGGGGGGATGTGATCTGGGGGGAGGCGGCTAGCTTTTTCCATTCAGTATGCAGTTTTGTGTGGATGTTTATGTCCTTTCACCCTTCATAAAGGCTTCAGGTCAGGTGTGCAAAACAGTTTCAAGGTTTTCAGGAACATGGAAGCAGTCGTAGTAGAACCAGGACAGTATAACAAACCAACCAAAATGTCACACCTGTGACGTGTCATTCCGGACTTATCCACTCTTATTAACAGCTACTTCAGGAACTCTGAAAGGTGAGTCATGTCTCTTCAGAGGTGGAAGGGAGGCTGCTTCTGCCCATTGTATCTTATGTCTACCAGTTGCCCAAAGGCTCAGTGCCCTTGGAGTGCCTGGCTGTTTCACAGGCCAAGGGTGTGAACTGGCTGCCTGCCTTACCATACAGGGCTCCCTTTTTTTTTTTTTTTTAAAGATTTTATTTATTTATTTGACACAGAGAGAGGTAGAGAGCGCAAGCAGGGGGAGCGGCAGGCAGGCAGAGGGAGAGGGAGAAGCAGGCTCTCCGCTGAGCAAGGAGCCTGATGCGGGGCTCGATCCCAGGACCTTGGGATCATGACCTGAGCCGAAGGTAGCCGCTTAACCAACTGAGCCACCCAGGCACCCCGGGGCTCCTTTTAAAACAAAAAAAAGTTACTGCTTTTTTCTTCTAATGGCTAAATGATTTAACACACCATTCTTGCTAGAAAATTTTGATAATGCAAAGAAGCACAGAAAAAAATGTATTTCTCACCCATGATACCATCCCACTGAGGTAACCACTGTTATGCGTCCTTTTTGAATTCTAATCTTTTTGGTAAATTAAGAAATACTAACTTTTGAAATAAAATTGGGGTCATATAATGCATTAGTTTTATTTTATTTTTTATTTTATTTTTATATTTATATTATATATAATATACATTATATATGTTATATATAATGTATATTATATATATTATATTTTATATTTATTCTATTTTTTTAAAAATTTTATTTATTTGACAGAGAGAGCACAAGCAGAAGGAGAAGCAGGCTCCTTGCTGAGCAAGGAGCCCGATGTAGGACTCAATCCCAGGACCCTGGGATCATGACCCGGGCCAAAGGCAGCCGCTTAACCGACTGAGCCACCCAGGCGTCCCTGCATTTGTTTTATAACCCACTTTTTTCATTTGATGTATCCTAATTTTTTGTGTGGTTATTTTTCTCAAGCATCATGTTCTGCATATTATTTCATTACATAGCTGTCATTTACCCAATAATCCCTTATCTGGGGGCATGACAAATTATATATGATAGTGAAGATCTTTGTAAATAAGTTTTTGTGTGTGTACCTGATCATTTTCTTAGAGTAAATATCCAGACTTGAAATTATTATGTTTAAAGGTGTATACTTTTTTTTCCTTAAAGATATTATTTATTTGTCAGAGTGAAAGAGACAGAGAGCACAAGCAGGGAGAGCGACAGAGGCAGAGGGAGAAGCAGGCTTCCCGCTGAACAGGGAGCCTGATGCGGGACTCGATCCCAGGACGCTGGGATCATGACCTGAGCCGAAGGCAGACGCTTAACCGACTGAGCCACCCAGGCGTCTCAAAGGTGTATACTTTTTTAAAAAAGATTTATTTAGTTATTTTAGGGAGAGAGAACGAGTGGGAGGGACAGAGGGAGAGGGAGAGAGAATTCCAGGCAGACTCCATGTTGAGCATGGAGCCTGACATGGGGCTCAATCTCATGACTCCGAGATCACAACCTGAGCCAAAACCAAGAGTTGGATGCTTAACTACCTGTGCCACCCAGGTGCCCCTAAAGGTGTATACTTAAAAAAGTGTGTGTGTGTTTTAAAGATTTTAGCTATTTATTTGTCAGAGAGAGAGAGAGCCAAGCAGGGGGAACAGCAGAGGGAGAGGGAGAAGCAGGCTCCACACTGAGCAGGGAGCCCAATGCGGCACTCGATCCCAGGACCCTGGGATCATGACCAGAGCTGAAGGCAGATGTTTAATGACTGAGCCACCCAGGCGTCCCTAAAAAAAAATGTTTTTAATACCTATTACCAAATGATCCGCCTATAAAGGCCTGTCACTTTCTATTCCGGTCAGTAATAGAAGAGCAACCACTTACCAGCAAACTCTGCAGCATCTAATTTACAATCTCTGCCAGGCTGATTGTTGCATTGTTTTAAATTTTCAGGCTTTTAAGTGGTGGTGAGGTTAATTATTTTGATGAATATTCGTTGTTTGTATTTTTCTTTTGTGAAGTGCCTGTTTGTGTTCTTTGCGCATTTGTTTTTTGACTTACAAAAGCTTTGGACATATTAGGGTTGTTAATTACTTATCATTATGTGGCAAGTCTGTTTCATGGTTTGAATTTGTCATTTAATTTTGTGTATTTTTTGGGCTTTTAACAGTGCAAGCTTTATTCCAATTTTGTGTATTTTTTAAATTAAACTTTTTATTTTGAGATAATTATAGATCTATGGGCAGTTGTAAAAAATAATACAAAGGAAAAAAATCATAATAATACAGAGAAATCACATGTACCCTTTACCCAATTTTCCCACAAAGGTAACATCTGGTAAAACCATGGTATAATATTACAACCAAAATATTTATATTGATACAGTAAAGATACAGAACATTTCCATCATGCCATGGCCACATCCACTCTCCTTCTCTCACTCCAGTTCTTAACTACCCCAGCTATGACCAGTCTGTACGCCATTTCTCTAATTTTATAATTTCAAGAATGTTATATAAATAGAATTACACTACAATAAACTTACCAAGTAAGGTTTTTTGGTTTGGCTTTTTTAACTCAACATAATTTTCTGGAGATTTGTTAGATTGTTGCGTCTATGAATTGTTCATTCCTCTTTAATAGTCCATGGTGTGTTTAACTTTTCATCCACTGAAGGACATCTGGTTTGTTTCTAGTTTTTTACTATTAGGAATAAAGATGGTATAAACATTCGTGTTCAGAAGTTTTTCTAAGAAAATAAGTTTTCGTTTCTCTGGGATGAATGCCCGAGTACAAATTGTTGAGTCATATGGTAGTTGCGTGTTTAGTTTTTAAAGAAACTGCCAAATTGTTTCTTAGAGTAGCTATGCCATCTTATATTCCTGCCAGCAGTGTATGAGTGGTCTAGTTTCTCTACATCCTCAACAACATTTGGTGCTGTCACTATTTTTAATTTTAGGCATCCTGATAGTTGTGTAGTGATATCTCATTTTAATTTGTATTTCTCTAATAGCTGAAGATGTTGGACATCTTTTCAATGCTTATTTGCTATCTGTGTATCCTCTTTGGTGAAATGTCTGTTTATGTTTTTGCCCATTTTCTAATTGGATTTTTTTTATTGTTGTGTTTTGAGAGAGTCCTTTATTTTAGATATTAGTGGTTTGACATATACATGGTTTGCAAATATTTTCTCCCAGTTTATAGTTTGTCTTTTCATCCTCTTAAAGAGTCTCTTTTTTTTAAAAGATTTTATTCATTTGTTTTATTTGAGAGAGAGAGAGAGCGTGTGCTTGAGCAAGGGGATGGGCAGAGGGAGAGGGAGAGAGAATCCCAAGCAGACTCTGCACTGAGTGTGGAGCCCCACGCAGGGCTGTATCCTAAGATCTTGAGATCATGACCTGAGCTGAAGTCAGATGCTTAACCGGCTGAGCCACCCAGGTACCCCCAAATTAAAATTGTTTGCTTAAAAGACTCTGTTAAGGGGCACCTGGGTGGCTCAGCCGGTTAAGTGCCCAACTCTTGGTTTCTGCTCAGGTGGTGATATCGGGGTGGTGACATCAAGCCCTGTGCAGCCCTGCCCATTGGACTCTGTGCTGAGCACAGAGTCTGCTTGAGATTCTCTTCCTCTCCCTCTCCCCTTCCTCCTCCCCCACTCAAGCTCTTTCTCTCCCTCAAATAAATAAATCTTTTAAAAAATCAGTTGGGCATATTTGTGTGGATCTACTTTTTTCTTTCATTGATCTCTGTGTTTATCCCTCCACTAATACTACAGTCTTGATTAATATAGGCATATACTAAGTGCTGAAATTGAGTAGACTGATCCCTCTGGCTTTATTCTTTAAAACAAACAAACAAACAAAAAAACAAACTTGTTCTAGCTATTCTAATTCCTTTGTATTTCCATATAAACTTTAGGATAATTTAGAAAATTAAGGGGCGCCTGGGTGGGTCAGTCAGTTAAGCATCTGCCTTCAGCTTGGGTCATGGTCCCAGGGTCCTGGGATTGAGCTCCGCATGGGGCTCCCTCCTCAGTGGGGAGTCTGCTTCTCCCTCTGCCTCTCCCCCCTGGCTTGTGCTATCTCTCTTGCTCACTCTCTCTCTGTGTCAAATAAATAAATAGAATCTTAAAAAAGAGAAAATTGAGAAAAGTCTTGCTAAGATTTATGTTAAATCTGTAGGTCATTTTGGATGGAATTGACACTTATTATTTTGAGTCTTCCAATCCATGGACATAGTATATCTCTCCATTTATTTAGAACTTTAAATTACTTTCATCAGCACTGTATAGTTTTCAGCATATAAGTCCTGTACGTGTTTTCTTTTATTAGTCCCTAAGTGTTTTCTCTTTTTTGACTTTGAAAAATTGCATTGTGAATGGTACTGTAATTTTAATTTTGTTATCTACATGTTCATAGCTAGTTTATAGAAATACAGTTGATTTTTGTGTGTTAATCTTATGTCCTGTGACCTTCCTGAATCCCTTGTTAGTTCTAGGATTTTTTTTTTTTAATAAAATCAGTGAGATTTCCTATGTAGAGAGTCATGTCATTTGCAAATAGGGACAGTCTTATTTCCTCATTTCTGATCTGTTTAACCTTTATTTCCTTCTTTCACTGGCTAGAACTGCTAGTACTATGTTGAGTAAGAATGACAAGAACGGACATTTTTGCCTTGTTCCCAGTCTTAGTATTCACTATTTCATTATTAAATATGTTAGATGTACTTTTTTTTTAAAGATTTTATTTATTTTTT